TCACAGATGATATTAATATTTTGTATAGATGCTTCATACTATTTGTGTCTTTCCTACAAAGAGGTCTGTGCTGTATTGTCTCATTTTTTCTTTGTTGCTGAGATTTGGGAGGTGTGAGTGTTGACTCCTCTGTGACCTATCCTTACCCATAACACCTTTCTCTGTGTAGGCTTGTGATAGAGTGTAGATATTTGTCTGAACCAGTCCATCAGGTGGTCATTCCAAGTCTCTTTGTGGTCATCTGAGGTCTCCTTGCAGTCTTTTTGAGCCTCTTTGTGCTTGTTTTAAATCATTGTGAATCTTTTTATGGATGTTTTGAGTCATTTTCATTGTCTTTGTAGTTGTTGAGTCATTTGGAATCTCTATGTGATAGTTTTGAGTGTCTTTGTGGCCATTTTGGGTGTACTTGTGGTTGTTCAGGTCTCCTTGTGCACATTTCCAGTCTCTTTGTGATTGATCCAAGTCTCTTGGTGGCTGTTTGAGTTTTCCTTGTGGTCTTTTTGAATTTCTTTATGCTCGTTTTGAGTCATTTTGAGTCTCTTGGGGTCTCTATGGTTGTTTTGAGTCTCTCTGAGTCTCTTTGTGGTTGTTTTGAGTCATTGTGAGTCTCTTTGTGGTTGTTTTGAGTCATTGTGAGTCTCTTTGTGGTTGCTCTGAGTGCAACTGGACAGAGAATCTCACCTGCATATGCACATTACTTTTCCTCCTCAACTGCCGGTCAGGCGTGTTTGCTCAACCAAAAAATAAAACACCTTTGTTTTCAACCCTTTTAGGCTCATTGTGTCTGATGATATGTATACTGTGATACTGTGATACCGTGAAACCATGATATTTTCTGAGATAGTTATCATACCGTGAAAATTTCATATTGTTGCAAACCTAGTCAGCACTGAGTTTGAGAGACAAAATAAATAACAGATATTCAAAAAAAGCAGTTACCACCTCAACATTTGGCCTACATGCTGCTTTCTACTGTTTAGTAACCTGTCTTCCAGCCGATCAATGATGTCAAACATAACACACCACAAAGAAACACAGGAAGGCATACTCATCCACTGCAGAGCCATTAACATGCTCTGGTCTACTTTGCAATGAGAAAACAGTCTATAGCCTATTTTAAGCGAGTGTTCCCGTGTTTCAATAAACTGCAGATTTTGGCGGTAAATGAGCGTAGGTGTTGAGGGGTTTTATCTCTGTGGTAACCTCCATGGCTGAAAAATGAAACAACAACGCTGAAGTGCCAAAAACTGCAGTTCCTCTAATGGCCACTTGAGGCTGGCTCCAATAGTGAGTCAATCCCCATAGACCAACATGTTAAAAAGCCCAACTTTACAGCCGAAATAAACATGTTTACAGCCTGGTATAGAAAATGTTTTGGTCTCTATAACTAGCTCCAACATTCATGCCAACTGTACGGAGTTGAATTTTTATATAACTGACCTGTTTACATTTTATTAAGGCTAAGATCAATGCATAATTATGATCATGGCCGCTTTGAGTGAGAGACTGTCTGCAGATAGTGCTCTCGGCTTCTCAGTCAGATCCGCCCCTCGCTCTTCCACAGCTCCACCCTCTCACCCAAATATGATCACTTCTATCTCCAAAAAACCAAGATGGTAATGGCCAAAACACTATACTCAAGGCTTGATGTCTACGAACCAATGCGTGATGTCATGGTAGTTACATCCATTATGGTTATATTATTTTTCAAAGATCCATTGAGATTGAACTGGAATACAGTTTGATGCAGACTTAAAGGTTTGCATTATCTCTCAACTACAGCACAACTTGACAAATATATTAGACAAAAAAATATTTTCTGTTAATTAATGCTCAAATGATAGAATGGAAACTCATGACCTGAAATATGTGCAGAGGAGTCAGCAGGAATGTAACGTATTCATGATTTATATGATAAATGTGTCAAATCATGCAGAATCACTGCTTTAACTGCTGGTGAACAAACATTCAGGAGAAACACAACAACGCTGCGTGTGACACATTCACACATTTGCAAACATGACGGACACCTGTCCGCCCCAGCAGGACGCTCCAGCCTCCATTAAACAGTCTGAGCTATCGTCCTCCAACAGATCCAGGAGGGGAGCACCAACAGTGACCCGGCACAAACTGGCAACTGCCTCCCAACAGTCGGCCCGGGTGCGGCGGGCATCTGTTGGCCCTTTGGTGGTTGAGGAGTGACAGGCAGAATGAGTTAGCGCTGCTCATCTGAAAGCAGCAGGGAAAAAGCACATCAAACAGGCGTAAATTTCACTCCTTCCGTTTTGATCAAGTGAAGCATGAAAAGGAGTGTAATACTCTCAAGTGGCGCGAGGGTTAGACCATTGATGTTGTTATTTCTGCATGGGGAGGTCCATGCAGCTAATGGGAGGGGGGGGGGGGGGCGCATTAGGAGAGGCCATATGGAGGGGTCCTTTTGCAAAAGCTCTTGAATAGGAAGCTTAGAGTCCCATAATGCCGTGTGAAATTCTACTTCTGGCATCGGCGGGGAGTTTTCAAAGCCGGCCTGCAACAGTTCGACCATATGTGCCGGTTTGAACGAGCGTCTCTTTTATTGGGTGTAGAATCACACTTTGACTTAACAATGAATCTGAAGAACATATGTTGGGACTCGAGCAGAGACAGAGCTCACAGAGCTGCTGTAAGGACGAAAAGAAAATCAAAGATCGATCCCAAACACCGTGTCCAGACGAGTGCCTCCCTGACTGGGTGAGCTGCCTACATAAGGAGACTCGGACTTCATCCCCCTGTTGACTGATTTCCACATTCTCACTGCAAAACTGTGAAATCAGGTCTTTAAGAAAAAAGAAAGTAAAAGCACACACGGAGGAGCGAATAAAAGATCTGCTGGCTGATTGTGTGATGATCAGTTCCTCCCATCTGCTGAGGAGCCGCGCTGACTCCCTTCAGGCTGACTGTTTGCTCAAATATTAATTACCATGTAATTACAATATCATTACACATCCCCATTGTCTGGGCTGCTGGGCTGCTCAAATCACACCAGACCCTAATGAGCATGAATACTACATCCTGCTGCAGCGTCCGACCACTAATCATGGACGGATTATGAGACAATGGGCCCCCGGGCACAGACATGGAAAAGGCCCCCCATTCCTCCTTCACAAGAGCATGACCCTCCAACTGAGAGGGACGCAAAACAACCACAAAGAGACACAAAGCACAGAGGAGACACAAAGAGACACAAAAACCACCACAGAGACACAAGGAGACACAAATAGATATAAATAGACCACAAATAGACTCAAAACAATCACAAAGAGAGCCAAAGGGATATAAAATGACCACACAGAGACTCAAAGTGACCACAAAGAGACACAAGACCACAACAAAGAGCCGCAGAGACTTTAGACGCCCACAAAGAGACACAAAGAGATATAAAATAACCACAAAGAGTCTCAGAAGAACCACAGAGACTCAAAGAGACTCAAAATGACCACAAAGAGATTCAAAACAAATACAAAGAGACACAAAAAGACTCAAAACGACAACAAACAGACGTAAAATCAACAACCACATAGATACACAAAGAGATATAAAAAGACCACAAAGAGTCTCAGAACAACCACAGAGACTCAAACAGACTCAAAATGACCTCAAAGACACTCAAAACTACCACGAAAGGACAAAAAAACAGGATGACCATAAATGACTTGATGGTTGATCTGAATCTCTGGCAACTAAACTGACACTGATTTGACACTCGGTTCAAGTTATTTTTTAATTAACAAAAGTCAAAATTCTCTGGTTTCTTCTTCCTGTGTAACAGTAAGCTGAATATCTTTGGGTTGGAAACACAGACTGTAAAAATAATGGACATAGCTTCCATGACGTCACCCATTGGTTTGTGGACTCCTGATTTTGAGCCTCGAGTTCGGCACTTCAGCGTCTGCGTCTTGGTTTTTTGGAGCCAGAAGCGACCATATTTGGGCAAGAGGGTGGAGCTGTGAAGGAGCGAGGGGTGGATCTGACTGAGAAGCCAAGGATACTATCGGCAGACAGTCCTTCACTCAAAGCGCCCCGCCCTTGATCATGCGTAACTTTAAGCTTTAATAAAATATAAACAGGTGGGTTATATAAAAATTCACCCCCCGTATAGTTGACATGAATATTCAAATTAGCTATAGAGACCAAAACCGTTTTTTGTACCAGGCTGTAAACATGTTTTTTTCTGCTGTAAAGTTGGGTATTTTAACATGGGGGTCTGCGGGGATTGACTCATTCTTGGAGCCAGCCTCAAGTGGCCATTAGAGGAACTGCAGTTGTTGGCACTTTACTTTTCAGCACCAGAGGTTGCCACTTGGTCGTGAACAAAACAAAACATTTGAGGACGTCATCTTGGCTTTAGGAAACAATGGTCGACATTTTCCACCATTATCTGACATTTTATAGACCAAACAGATGATCGAATAATCAAAAAATAACTGACAGATTAATCAACAGTGAAATTAATCGTTAGTTGCAGCTCTAGCTCAACAGCCCCATCAGACAGAGGTCCAGGCCCTGGGGCCCCTCACCCATTAGGCCCCTTCGGACCTGTTTAGTAATCCGTCCATGCTACTAATATGAAGCTGCCGGCAGACGGCTGGTGAAAATGAAACAGGAGCGATGATAAAAATAACTGTTGGAGGTAGTTGTGTATGTAGGACAGTGTTTAGCATGGTGTCAGGTGTTTGGCTGCACAGAGCTGTCAGGCTGTCTGTAGGGACGACTACACGCCTCGCAAAGCAACACCGCCTTTCTGCTGCTTTTGTACACAAACATGCCAGAAAATTGGACGTCTGTGTGAATCCCATTTACATGAACTGCATTTTGCATTAACAACCCCCCACCCCACCCCCCACCCCCACCCCCCACCCACACACAGACACACACACCTTGCTTCAAAGAGCCGGCAGACGTCCGAACCTGCGACTCTTTCAGAGTGTTGTGGAGCCAGACAGGCAAGCAGACGGAGGTGAGGGAGCTGCTTTCTGTGATATCAGTGCTGAGCTAATTGAGGCAGAAGTGAGTGTGTTGTTGTGTCCCGGTTGTTCTCCCGTGTTTAGATGATTAGTGTTAACTTACCCCCTTTCGTGTACGCCGACGTTCACATCACACGAGGTCGTCAGTCGAAGAGGAGTCGCAAAGAGAAACAAAGAAAGAATACTTTAATTTCTCCTGGCTCCTTTTAGTGCAGCAACCTGTGTGTTCAGCGACAAACCACTACAATAATAATATTATTACCACTCTAACTTGTCATGTGGCCCGAACAGTTTCAATCAAAAAGCTTTAAAGTCTTTTCAGCACTTCAGCCCTTTTACTGACACTTATTTAAATATTATTGGGTGTAAATGTGAAAAACCTTCAAATATTCCACTTCACCTTCTTCCTACACACTTAAGCCAGCATTGCAGTGTGGCGTCAGCTTTTCAGACAACCTTAAAATATTCCAAATCATTCATACATTAATGGTATTATTCAACATTTAAAGTGAACATTGCAATGTAGCATCAGCTTTTCAGCAACCCTTGAAATATTCAACATTATGAGTGTCATTCAACTTTTCAAAAACATTCATACCAGTTAGACTGCTTTCAACTTTCTCAACTATTCCTATTACTTCACCTGGTTCTGACACATTAAAGCCAGCATTACAAAGTCGTGTAAGCTTTTCAAATAACCTTAAAATATTCCACATCCCTTATACATTAATGTTATTATTCAACGTTTGAAGCCAGCATTGCAGTGTAGTGCCAGCTTTTCGAATAACCGTAACATATTCCTCATTAGACCCCCTTCGACTTTTTCAACAATTCTTATCACTTTACCTTCTTCTTACACATTTGACCAAGCATTGCGGTGTAGCGTAAGCTTTTCAAAAACCTTCAGATATTCCACACTATTGGTATCATTCAACTAATCAAAGATATACATACACATTTAAAGTGAGCATTGCAGTGTAGCGTCAGCTTTTCAAAAAACCTTTAAACATTCCACATCCTTTATACATTAATGTTATGTTTCAATGTTTGAAGCCACATTATAAATATCATTTAACTTTTCAATGACATTCATACTAATTAGATCCCTTCGACTTTTTCAACAATTCCTATCACTTTACCTTCTTCTTACACATTTGAGCAAGCACTGCAGTGTAGCGTCAGACTTTCAAAAACCTTCAGATATTCCACGCTATTGGTATCATTCAACTAGTCAATAATATCCTTACACATTTAAAGTGAGCATCAGCTATTCAGCATTGACCATTCACACCTGCAGTTTCTTCAGATATTGTATTTTTTTGTTTTATATTCATTCTTATTGTCAACAAATTCCCAGAGTGCTGTGTTTGATATGTTTGGGAAATCTGAGATTATGAGACTGAAATTTGAGGTTTCATAAGATCCAAAAACTGCATCTAAAAACCTGTTTAGGAAGACAAGTTTACACACCATTATATTTTCTATGCCAGAACTTGAATTCTTTAATAAACCCTGAATATCATGCCTGCTTTTAGAGCTCAGTTAAGGTCCAGGTCTGTTTAAACAGGTGAGAGCAGCTGAGTCTGTGTGGGTCCAGACTCTCAGCTGGTCTGTTGGTATCACAGTGATTCACACATTTCACCATGTTCTATGTAAGAGTGTGTGTGAGGGCGTTTATCTGCTTCTCCTCCTGATAGGATTGGAGTTTATCTGATTCATCTTCCCCTCACACACCCCTGCCCCCTGTTCGTCCCTTTCATTCATTTCAATAAGGAGATTACTAACTGTGTTTACTGCTCTTTGAACATTTAATTTCCTTAAGCCAATTGTTTTGTCAAAGTGCTCGGCTCTCTAAAGCCGTCTATCGAGTTTTGCCAAGCGGTCGTTGAGGACAGACTTAACCCAGACCTGATAGCTGTCACATTTATCTCCACATACACTACAGTGTAGAATCAGCTGTTATATGAGGTATTAATGACAGCTTTTCAATGCAAAGCAAGTAAATGACCAAAAAATATCAGGCTTATCAGCTCAGTATAAACTGAGGGTCTAAAGCTGTTAAAATCTCTGAGCTAAATGTGTTGCCTGAAAATTGACTTCATACAATAAGTAAATAAAACAGCATCATGTTTTACTTACAGAGACGAAATCCTGACGAGAGCAGAAAAGATAAAGCAAAGAGAAACAAGTTTCATTCATTCAGTTGGAGAGAGAACTTTTCTAATTTCTGATAATTCACAGTCAGACTGGCAGTCTGCAGCAGCCGCTCTGTGAGGCTGTCCTTACACACAGCGATGCTTTGAGCTAAATGCTAACAGCAGCATGCTAACATTAGCTAAGTGGCAGTAAGGTCGAAGTACAGCTGAGGCTGATGTCTTCAGTCTGTTGATCCACAGAGTCTTGGCTAAACCTTCAACACATTCTCACTCCCAACTCATCAAATACCAACACTTAGTCAGGGGCTGTAAACATTAAATTATGATGCACTAGGTACCCTCCTGCGTCGGTTTTGGATGTTCGGGGACGGTGTGTCAGTTTGTGCTTCTTAAATGCATTGTATCTTTTCAAAATAAACTTACAACAAAGGCAAAAAAAGCATGTGGCTGGGTTAGTTATCAGCTCTGACCAAACAAACGTTAGGTTGGGGAGATTTGGGGGAGTTTGGGGAGTTTTTGGTGATTGTGTTGTGAAGGAATACGATGAGTTTTTCATTACAGAATACTTTTTTTTAAAAAAATGGACATTGAGTTGTCATCTACAGTTATACTTTACTGAGGGATATGTGAAGTTTGATGTAAATGATTTGAGAAGTTGTATCTGTACCTTCTTCAGGACGAGGCTGGGCTCCTGAGCGAGCAGCTGACGCTGAGCAGCCATGTTCCCCAGAGCTGAGCTCCTCAACCAGTGCTTCTCCAGAGGATCCAGCTGCACCCTGTGGAACAGAGACTGGGAGGGAGGGGAGTGAAGAAGATGAGGAAAGTGAGGAAGGTGAGCTTTTTTTCCAATGGTGATGGTATTAATGGTTATTTTACTGTTCTTCCTGGTTTGGTTTTGACTCATGAGCAGAACTTGTGTAGGTTCTGTAAATGACATTCAGAGCATTAGTATAGAATCAAACACTTTTGTCTGTGTAAGAATAAAGTGGAGTAATGGCGTCCTGAGATTGAAGTCACACTCCCTCTGTGTGTGTTGTAATCTGAGCTTCTCTGTGGTTTGTTGTGTTAAGCTGGACGAGTGCAGGACGGTAAAAGGCTAGCGGAGAATACCAGCAATGGTAATGGTAGACAGCACTGCTGGGGAGCTCCTTACCCTCCTAGCAGAGGACGAGATCAGTTGCCACAGGGATGTAAATGATTGTTATTATCATTATCATGTCATTGCCATGCCACACCTCTTTTGCCTCCATGATGCCGGCATGCTGTCTAAAATCACACAATGGAGCAGAATGATGCTGTCATTGTTTGGCTCTATGTAAAAAAGTCTAGTGTCTACTGTCTGCCTTGTGATGTTGGAGTGATTCCTCTGCGGGTGAAGGTGCTTCACTTCATCATCACTCCACATCTTTGCATCCAGGTGAGTCCAGCTGCTTCCCTCAATCAGCTCTTCTCTTGCACTCAGAGATGTATGACTGCAGATCTACCTCTGTCAGAGAAGTCAGTTATTCTGAGTGTTCAGTCGTAGACGTTTAAAACATTTGGATTCTGAGTCAATGTGTGAATCCATAATCCTGCTACTGTCCAACACAAAGAAGCAAATCACGAACCTTTCAGAGCCACCCTCTGGGCTGGCTGTTTGATACTCAAAAAAAGATTTTCAGTGGCGTATTCCTTTATGTGTCGGTATTTTCCACCACAAACCGCCGTCCTCGTTGCCCTCTAGCCGTGGCGGAGGCCGCCGTGCAGCAGGGCGGGGGTCCTGATGCCATTAGTGGTGTTTATTGGGCAGCAGGGTGCTGTGAAGCACCACCCAGGCCTTTAATCAGAGGCCTGCCGGGCCGTCCTCACTGTTTACCTGATACACCTCCATGTTAATTACACAGCCTGGACCAGACTCAGAGGGAGGCTGTCCTTCAGCCTGACAACACACACAGAGCTGAGACAGGGACGGTGTGTGTCCTCACAGAGACTGAGACACAACAGGAGACAGATTCGGTTAAAGGCTGAAACAGTGAACCTGACTGAGAGGATGAAACTATTTCCATCTCATATTCCTGTAGATAAAACCAAACATTTAACCTGTGATTTATTTATAGGTCATATTTTACTAAACGGATGTTAACACTGAATCAAAGAGAAGATGGGAAAGTACAGAGCTCTTTGTAATGAAGATTATTTACATTATCCCAGAATAGCATTATTATTTTATAGTATAAACTAATGCATGTATGTATACAGTATACATAAAGTGAAAATAAAGTTTAAATCATCTAAATATTTGCAGCATTTCTTTGTCTTCCATCACATTAAACTGAATCTCTTTGTGTTCCGCTGGTCAGATGAAACAAAACATCCAAAGAAATGTGACAAGTCCTTTTTTTTTTCTGTACAGACCAAATTAATCTGTTGAGAACATAATTAGCAGATTAATCAATAATAAAAATAATCATTAGTTGTAGCCTGATTTATAGAATATATTTCATTTTGGAAACTAAAACTATCAGCTCCAGTTCAAACCAGAGTTTCCCTGCTGGGTCCAGTCAGAGTGTATAGTGGGAGGCCGTCACAGCCAATAAGCAGCCGACGCTGCGTCCTGTCAGGGAGGAGGACGGCAGTGATTATGGGATATCGTCATGGGAACAGTGTGTGTGTATGGGGGGGGGGGGGGTGTAGTTTGTGTGGATGGCTCTCCACTGTTCAGCAAACACACCAAAGCTGCAGGATGGCTGAGCGCGCGCGCACACACACACACACACACACACACACACACACACACACACACAGTTTAATATTTCTCGTTTAGTTTTATTTTCTCGTGAACTCACCATGACAGAAGAAGCAGCAATGCTCCCAATATCGTCCTCCTCACTCTGAAACACAAACAACACAACTGTAAATATTAATAACGACTTAATTCTAGTTTCAACATTAAAATCAAACAAACAATAAAATCTGTGTTACTCTACAACTGGCTGAAAGTATAACTCTAGATTATCAGACATTGATTGGTGGGAAGTAACTAAGTACAACTACTTAAATACAATTTTATGGTAAATGTAGTTTCTATTACCACTTTATTCTGAAAATATTCTGACATTATTTTAAAAATATTCCGACTTAATCCATAAAATCCTTAAAATATTAAAAATTCATTTTTGTTAATTCTGATTTAATTCTTAAAATATTCTGGCTTTTTCCTAAAAAAAAATCCAACTTACTTCTCAAAATATTCTGATTTTATTCCCCAAATATTTCCACTTTATTTTCAAAATAATCCGACTTAATTCTCAAAATAATCTGACATTATTTTCAAAGTACTGCAACCTTGTTCCCAAATATTTCCACTGTGTATTCTCAAAATATTCCAGCTTTTTTCTGTCAAGAAAATTCTGATTTTATTCTAAAAATATTTCCTCTTAATTCTCAAAATATTACGACTTTGCTCTCAAAAAAATTCTGACTTTACTCTGAAAATATTCCAACTTTTTTTCAATATATTTCATCTTCTGTCTGGAAGTAAAACTATTTTTTTCCTGTAAGGCCTTTGACTTTTTTTCCTCCATTTTTTTCCCTTTATCTTTCCAAATTTTGATTTTATTCTTTAAAAATAGTCCCAATAACCTGCTGTATGCTTTTCTAAATTTACAGTTCATCGGCTGTACATCTTGTTCATCTAAGCTGAAACTGTAAATAGAATTAATTAATAAAACTGAGATCAGCTGGAATAAATGTTTTCTCCTGTGTGCACTGAGTCATACAGTGTGTGTGTGTGTGTGTGTGTGTGTGTGTGTGTGTGTGTGTAAAGGAGGCCTCATGCATTAATAAATATCTTTGGGATAACTGAGCACTGAAACTCTCTTGTTGTGTAATTGTTTGCAGAGTGAATCATTATATAAGATGGTGCAGACGGAGAGTGAACCTCCCTGAAGGAGTGATATGGGCTCAAATCTAACGAATCCATTAAATCCCTAAAAAGACTGTTACAAGTCTCAAAGGCTCATAAAACACTCTTGAGAGAGGATGAAGCTGCTTTCATCTCTCAACCTGACATCTTTATTTACCGTCTCCTGTCACTGTGGCAGATTGGAGAGGTCTCCTCTCCACGTGTTAATGAGCGCCGTTCGATTATCTCATTTATTCTTTCATTCTGTGCAGCGGATACATGAATAAATCTGTTTCATGTTTCCTTTTTGACTCATTGTCTCACTGATTCTATCCTTTCAAGCTCTCTTCAATTCTCCATTAGCTGTTTGTGTGATTTCTCTCAACAGCAGAAAACAAAAGTATAGTAATCTACACATGTGAGCGTCACACAGAGGAATGTGGGAATTTTAAAATCCCCCAAACAGGCCTCAGTCTCCCCTGATTACTCTTATTAAAGAGTTTAATACAGTTTGAGCTCAGATCTGTGTCAGCAGGGATTTACAGAAAACAAATACTCTGCTGGTATCACCACAAAACTACCACCTCTCAAAACTGTAGTGCTTACTGGTTTTAATTCAGATATACTGTACATATTTTCATTCTATATCTATGCTTCTTGATTTTTTGAGTGATTGTTTTTATTTTTTATTTAATTTTCTCTTGATCCTTGCACCAAAACACCAAAGCAAATTCCATTTTTTTGTAAATCTATGGCAAAAATCTGATCATTTGTTTAAATCTACAAGTCTGTGTTTAGTTTATTATACAAAATTATTTCTCTATTTGATGATGGATCTTTTTATTAACCTGTCTTTAATGGATGTCTCCACAAAGACTGCCTGATTCTGCTGAGTGCCACAGATAGATGTGTATGTAAAACAAGTCTGACCTGGAACCAGGACGTCTGGATTCGTGTGTAAGATTTCTGAACAGGAAACAGGCCTTTTAATTCCCTGAACTGTTTCTTGACCTCAATGGTTATTAATTGCAGCTACCACACTAATGTCACATGCAAAGTATTGATGCTCATATTTGAGGTTCCTGAGCCAAAACACCTTCTGTTCTGTTCTGGTGTCACTGCTCCAGTTCATACAGAAAAGTGTTTTTTTTGTGACACACCTCTGGAGTTATGGAAATATCTCGTGTTTAACTGGAGCAAAATCAAGTTATTTACAATTATTATACAATTATTATTTAGGGTTATTCAGGGTTAAAGTAAGGAACAGCCATCGGCAAATTAAAGCACAAGTGTTTAATGTTGACATCACGGATATTTTGCAAGTCGGGACCATATTAGTGGTTATGTCCTTGTTTTCTTACTGTATCCACATTTTTTCTAAGGTTTTGTCCAGGTGCTTTAAAAAAAGAGGGTGAAACAATGTACTCAATGTGTGAATATAGGTGAGAAACAAAAATGATGTCTATTTAGCAGCTTACTGTGCATAAAAACACTTCTAGAAAACCTACATTTGTTAAAAAAAAGACATTTTTTTTTCCTCTTAAAAACAACATAGGAGCCATCTGTTTATCGTGTATGTACATTTACAAGTCTGTGATAACATGAGTTTTAAAGTATTGTTGACTACAAGGCCCATCAGCCTCGGGTGAGGTGGGCCAATCGCTGGCTCTTTAACTGGCTACAAGAAATGTGAGTGAGGTATGTTCCCTCAACACAGGCCCTAGTTGGCCATCAAGGCCATAGCAACAGCACTGGAAGCTCCTATTGGCTCAAGTGAGGTGTCAATGGAAAGGCCAGGAGCTCGCCTCCATTTTGAAGTGCTGTTCGGTTGGTTTGTTTACATGCAGGCCAGAGAAAGTCTGGATAATATGTAGAGAAATATGAATGTTTGAAACAATGGACTAAATATTTCGTCTGGCGTATTGTGAGTGTGCGAGAAATGAAATGGGAGCTTTGTAGGCTGTGATTCCGTCTGGAAAATATGAATTTGTGGATTACAATAACGTTTTATTGGTGAGTTATAACTGTTAATTTGTGGGGTTTTGTCTGACAGAAGTGTTTATTGAGCCTGCTGTGGAGGCAATATCTTGAAATGGTCAACAGTAATGGCACCGTGAGTAGTGTAGTGTGTTTCAAAGGATACGTCATATGAGTAAAGGTTAAAGTTACTTTACTTGTATTTGAGTCGAGAGGAAGCGGATTCGAAAATTAATCCTTTTTAAATTCTCTGGCAAACATTTCATCATTTCAATAAAAAGTCTTGTAACAGAATAAAATTTAAAGACTGTTCTCCAAACTTCCTGAGACAGACACACACACACACACACACACACACACACACTTGTCCTCTGTGGCAAAGCGCTCCACGTCAGCTGAACACAAACACTGAGAATCATGGGTAATAAATGGTGAAAGTCTGCAGCCCTGCTTCGTCCCGTCCTCCCAGCACAGCAGGTAGAGTCTCCTGGTGTTATGATGGACGTTCACTGACTGTGTGAAGCTCAGAGACGAGTGTTGGTTTGTTGGTGGGGAGGGAACATGAGTCCCCGGAGAAAGGAGGAGGAGGAGGAGGAAGCTGCTCATTAGTAATCTAACAACACACTCACTGAGGTGTTTCTCTAAATGATTACGGCGCACTGCAGAGGTGAATTAAAGGTAAGAAAACTGAGAAATGAGGAGTAAACAAAAGCACTGTTTAAGATGAATCTACCACAGAGTGTTTGTTGTAAAATCAAGATTTGAACTGTGTTTGAATCAGGTTTGATTAATGCAGACAGTCTGTAGTCAATGTGAACGTTTATGTTCGGCAGCAAATTAACATCCATTAACATCACAATTCAAACGCTGCTCAATCTTCTGTATTCTGTGCAGTTCAGTTCTGCTAAGAGCTCATTTTTGGAGAACAAACTGATAAATGAGTTGATTTTTTAACTGCTTTGAGCTAAGTGTCAACATGCTGACATTTAGCAGGTATCTAAAGTATCTTAGTTTAGCGTGTTAGCATGCTAACAGCTAATTATCAGTAAACACAGAGCCACATTTTCTTCAGTCTCTTGCTCATACATTTCTCTAAATGCTTTTGACAGATCTAAAAAAGAAAAATCAAACCTGTTCCGAAAATTCTAATAACAGACTTAAGTTTTGAACTCAGTGTGCAAACATGATTGATACAATATGAGTACGCATTTATTTTTTAAACATCCAACAAAAATAGGATTCAGTGTGCAAAGACCTTCAGCATATTAGCACAGGAAGAAGCCCCAAATATGGATAAGGCGATGTGCTTTATTGAGCAAGGCCAGGTCCAATTTCTACTCCTGCTAGCTGCTAGTGACTGTTTGTCTTATCTGCATCCCAGCATGCAAAGCACAGCTGGCATCAGCAGCTGTTTAACTAACTAGTTTTAGTCAAGGTCAAAGGTCGAGGTTGGATCACACCACCACAAATGAACTGCCCCAGAATTAGTTTGGGACCGGGCCTATACCACTTCCTATAAAGGATATCTTTTCAGTTTGTTTAAGGCACAGTCACACGAGCAAAAATAACACTGGTGAATATTCACCTTGCGTTCACTCCTGTTTGTTTCAAGCAGCGGGGCAAATATATTAGCATGTTTATTAGCAAGTGAACCAACATTCATTTGTTAACGTTAGGCTAACAAATATGACCATCACATCTGGGATCGGCCACATTCAGCACGAATATTGCCTCAGGAGGTGACAGTCACTACATTCGCCTGCAATTGCTCATGTGTGACTTTACCTTCAAGCAGGATTTATACTTTTGTGTTGAATCAACGCCATACCTACAGCGTAGGCTGTGTCGATGTAGTGCCTGTGACGCAGACCTCTTGTCTATTTCTGTAAGCTGAAACCATTTCCCTCAATGAAAATCAAGCTTTTATTAACTTTAGTTTCACAGATAAGAAACAATAAATTGTGAAGACAATAAAGCCTCCACTAAAATAGCATTTTAAGTCTTGTGTGT